TTAAGAGTTTATGCTGATCACATCCTCCTGGTTCTGCACAATTCCTCTTATTATACTGTAATGGATCCGCTTAGGTCACAAAGCAGATTAGATATATTAATAAGAAAATTTTAACCTTAAGACCTTTCAGACCTTGTCTTCTAATCTCTGATTCGAGACAAAACAATATTCAAACATACACGTTGACCATTGTTTCAGACTGAAAGCCAAGGTGATCCAGGATGATTGGTGGGGAAGAAACCTCTAATTGCGGTGTTTCTGTTTCGGAATTGCCTTAATATTATGTGAAACAAAAGTAGAATTGAATAGTACATCAAAAGTTACTTACAGGCATTTCTGCCCATGCTTTCAATTTTCTTCCGTCTTTAATTTTCGGTGGGTGTACGTGCACATGTTTGTAAATAACAATGCAACGTGATCTGTGCTTCCCTTGTTCTAAATATTAAAGTCCTTAAAGCTCTCCTAAAAACATGTCCCATCAAAATGAAGCCTAGTCAACACCTAGCAAAAGTAGAATTTAAAAACTGGGCAAGAAAGCTAAAGGTAAATGTAGACACTGATGTGTCACTTTAAAAAATTGACCCCAGAGAACTTTCTTGAGCTTTTGCTGTCTGTCTGCTTTTGCCTGAATATTTGAATTAAAGCCAATATTTAGCAACTTGAACAGAAACTTGCTAATTGTGTCAGATGTAAATTAGTTTTAGGCAGTCTGGGTACTTAATTGCAAGACAGTGACCAAAACGTAGCCCAACTAGCTTCAAAAGGTGTTTTTTGGCAAAATTTCCGGAGTGTAGGGGTTAAAATTTAGGCTCTGATTTTCTTCAAGTGTCTGAACAATTTCTGGTGTTCCTTAGGTGTATTAATATAAAATGAAAAGTTCTTAATTAAAGTGGGATGCTGAGAGATTTTACAAAGGAAACTGGTATCACCAAATTCATCTTGATAAAAACATAAGCATCCTTAATAAGGAGTGATTATTGAGCTTTTCAAACCTGGGAATCTCTTTTGTTCTTTTACGATGGTGCCACACAAAGTAAAGCTGTCATACAGCGTATATAGCGAATGACAAAAGAAAAATCTTTTGCTCCCTGCACATCTAAGAAAACTCAGATGTGCATCAGTATTGATGCCTTAGTAGTTGCATATAAGCTGAATCATATATGTGTGTGCGTTGCTTCCCAGTTCACTTTTTTTAAATTATGTAGTCCCAGCTTGTATATTTATAAAGTTACAATGTACCCTACTCTTTTTTTGCAGCTTGTCAGAGCTTGGATTGACTCATATCCCTTCCAAGTTACTGCAGCAACTACCTAATTTAGAGGATCTGGATCTCTCTTTGAACAAATTAACAGCCATTGAAAATGAAGGAGCATTGCCACAAGTTAAAAAACTTAGTTTTGCAGGCAACCATCTTAGTAGTACAGATGGACTGACAGCATTTCCCAACCTAGAAAACGTGAATGTCACCGACAATCCTACTCTTGAGGTAGAAGTTTTCATTTTCGTTTGTGTATAGTCAAACCACGTTTTACAGACACCTGCTGAATATGGACACCTCAAAATTATGGACATTTTGCTTTGCCCTAGTCTGCTACACAGCCGTTTTTAGAGTCGTCACGCAACACTCCTCCCCACTAACGGCTGCTGAAAACCGAACCACATTCCTTTCCCGTGATTAGCCAATACAATTCAGCTCCTATTTTCTGGAAGGTGTTCATGCCACGTTTGCAGTACTGTGACTCCTCCAATCACAGCTTTGCTTTTATTGGTGCCCTATGTGTGAATGACAGAATAATCAGAGTTGTTGAAAACAAGCAATTTACTACAGTGGTGTTGTCGTAGTCGAGTCCTATTCAAAATGTAGGAGGTAAGCAGCAGCAAGCAAGTCGAGCAAATTGCAATGCACAACATGGATGTGCTCATAAAGTTGCCAGGTATAGTTTTCGGAAATCGCTCATCAATAATTTATAAGATTGCTTTTTGAATCAGTACCCTGGAGAGTTTAGTCTTCACAGAACACAATGAGCACATCCGGCACATTAAATTCTTCATTACATATATCAGTAGATATGCACGTTAAATGAAGAGCCAACCGATCCTGGTAAAAGTCTTCTAGGCCTGTCAAACCTCTTTTTCACTTAGAACTTTCTTGACTGCTTAAAACAAAGTTTTTTGCAAATTAACCTTTTCCTTGCTTGAAAAAACAGCGCCCGTCTAAATTCAGCGATGATTGACTGATTTGTTGAAAACTGAGAAGCGTGCTTGCTTCCTAGCGCCCTGCGGCTCACGTGTTGTCAAATCTCTTATACATGATTGGCTTGTTCGTTAGACCACAAACACAAAGGGAAAGGAATGTAGTTCGGTTTTCAGCAGCCGTTTGTGGGGAGGAGCGTTGCGTGATGACACTAAAAACAGCTGTGTAGCAGACTAGCTTTGCCCTTGCAGATAGAAAGCCCTTTCATTTTCTCTGAATTCAACCTGATAATATAGATGTTGTAGTTAATTTTTTATCTCTGATAACTTTTGTTTTTCTTTTGTTTTGGGGTATGTTAGTGTATATGCTAATGAAGTTGAAACAAAAGTTCAAAAGTTCATTGACACTCGATTCTCGATCCTCGCAAAAATCAAGTTGAGAATCAAGACCTGATTCTCGATTGTTGTGTCTCAATTCTCCATACTCGGTTCCTGTGAGACTCATCAAACCTGAATTGCCTTTGTTTAGTTTCGAGTAGTTCGCTCTCTACTCTCGACACTCAAGATAACAAGATCAAAGGGCTCTATGAGCCACTCAGTTGAAGGTTTGCGTTATCAGCTTGAGACTTGGCAGTCTTTAAAATGTTAGAGGGGAGGGTGGGGTCTCCAGTCAATTTTGGATGGCTGCATCTTGCAAAGGTTGTTGAGCAAAAATGTTTGTGGTAGTGGAACTTTAAGGTATATACATGTATACACATCAGCCGTTTAAAATTGATCGATGAAAGACACAGTAATCCTCCACTTGCTATTGTAGAAAACATAGGCACGTTTTACGTGCATGAGCTATTTTGAAATCTTCAGTGTAACCAGTATCGGCAATCTACTGTTTTAATCGAAAATAATATTAAGTCTGGTTTATTTATAAAATCGTCGCACTTAGAAATAAGCGAATCGCGAAGTTATTTTACAAAGATATAGATATAAATTTTAAAAAAAAATTCAATTTGAACTAATTACGTCGTGTTCAAAATGGACTGGGCCTTAAAATTATGAGAAGATATAATACAATAAATTAGATAAAAAACTAGAAACTAGAAATATGTATCAAGTTATGCATTGAATTCCCATAAGTTCCTAAATTACATGCCATGAGCATAAAGGCACATTGCCAGAAAAAAGCTTCATTAAAAGGGTTTAGTTTTGCAACTTGTAAGGGATGGTCTGTCTT